TGGGGGGGGGGCGGTGTGAGACCCTCGATATATCAACTGTCTAGACACTACAGATTGTTTATTCAACTCCTTGGCATTTCTTCCGGATTGGGTACTTAACTACAATAAATTTCTCTCGAACCCCAATTGCATACTTGCAGTCTGAAGTCACATGTACTCAATCTATGTCGCAGCTCCTTTGTTATGAAGAAGAACGGAGGGAAAATTAAGGCGAGTAATGATCCAAAATGACGACAAATTTCAAAACTACTCTTCAAGCTGAACCCAATGCGCTCACTAAGACTTGAACTTAACCTTTAATACTTTAAAAAATTAGAGAATTGGAACATGATGAAACTTAACTAACAGTGCAACAAAATCAAACTCATACTTTCTTTACAGACTAAGTATCTCCCAAGACTGTCAAATTAACCTTTCTTGACAAAGAATAATAAGTTGTTAAGAAGCGCGCAATAAACAATTTGTCCATGATGGATAGCTACAACACTTGACTTTGTTCTGACAATTTCTCGTTACTTCTTTCCTGGATTGTTGACGTCAGTTTGTAGTCTGTTGTACTCTAAACAGCCTCCGTGTTCTTCTCGGCTGCAGGGGTAAGCGGGAGACTGGTTTCTAGTTCAGATCCAGGCCCCTGGTTGAGCGATTCAGCGGAGTCACCTTTCTGAGAGGTAGAAGGCTCAAGAACTGGGAAGGGCACGCCTTGAATCCTTGTGTAGCTTTTAGCTAAATCCTAATCAAGAAGGAACATAGAATAGACAGATTAGTTATCCAATAGCCATCCCGTGGATTACTGCGTAAACGTGTTTATGTACCTTGTGTTGGAGCGGCTTTCTGCCAAGTTGTCTGTGTGTGTGTATGTGTGTGTGTATCTGTCTGTCTGTCGGTCAGTCGGTCGGTTGGTAGGTCTGTCGATTTGTCTGTGTCTGTCTGTTGGTCGGTCTGTTGGCTGTCTATCTGTCGATTTATCGGTCAGTTGGTCTGTCAGTCTGTCAGTCAGTCGGTCTGGCGGAATGTCCGTCTTTTGGTCTGTCTATATGTCCGACACACACTCAACTTGCCTGTATGAAGTTTGGAGCAGGTTCCTTCAAGCCATGGGCTGCACTAAGCGCCAGGTTCGCAGAAGGTCTGATGTAATGCTGCAGGATGACGAAATAGAACAGGACAGTGATGACCGGAAGCGGAAGGAGTAGTACGGAGGCTGCGTATGACTGCTTCAAGCCCACCACGCCAAACATCAGCAACTGAAACACGACAGTCGCGATAATCATCCTACAAAGACGAGACAAAGATCAATGTAACAGTCCGGCCATCATCTTAGAGTAGTTCACGTTTCAAGGATTTCTCCCATATCTTTAAGTTAACGTTTGTTTTAGGGTGCGTTCCTTTAGGGTGATCTAGATCAGGATCAGTGATCCAAATCCATTGGATCATGGTGCATCAAAGGAGCCGGTGAATCCAAGACCAGAGTGGATTCATTGGTTCCTTTCCTTTATCATGATCTAAAAAATCTTGGATCACTGACCCTGACACAGATCACCCCATAGGAACACATCCTTAGTGCATGCTAGCTGCATATAGGTATTGAATTTGAGCCGAGCCACACCTCTTTGTTATGAAGGGAAAGGTAATGTTCAAACCCAAGTCTAAAAGTCTTTGGACCTACATTAGTTTTCTCTTGGTTTTGCTTCCAGTTCTTTCTACGGTGTACTTTCCATCGCGCTACAGAAAAATTCGCGGCTTCGCTAGAAATCCAGACACAAAATACGGAACAATGAGGTCTAATTCTATAACGTGTTTTTAGTTTAAAGCTAAAGGCGAAAATGTTAATCCTTATCACTGATAGCCACAGGCACATTTTCTAGCTCTGGGAATTCGCTGGCGTATCAAAACAATCTTGTAGTTGATGACTTTTCCGATTTCTCGTCACTTGATTTTTCAAGGAGAAATTAGATGTTGATAGGCTAGTTTCGGTTTAAAGGAGTTACCTCACAGTTTGCGTATTTTGAAATGTTTAGCCCAAATTTTTCAACTTCTTAGATTGCAATCCGTGTTAATCTTCTACATCCTTAACCACCCCTGTTCTTTTATGGTCTTTTTATCTTAGTAAAATATTATTTTCAGGTTTCCTTCAATTTAAAATACCAAATACCGCGACTGAACTAAGGGGTTGTGTTTTCTTCACCTGTTAAAGACTCTTGGCCACATCATTCCACCGCAGCTGTAGACTGGCATGTAAATACTGAGTGTCTGATGCATCCACACGACGTAACCAAACCCAAAGTACATAGCAACGAATGGAGTGATGATAGGCGCAAGGGCTGAGTACGACAAGCCGACAATCAAAATGAACAGATGGTTGGCAAACTGGAAAGATAAGAAAATGATACAATGAGGAACCCACTTGGATTGCGGGTTTCAGAATCCCACATGGATTGTGGACCACGTATCGCAGCTTATGGATCGTAGTCAGGTATCGCAGATTGAGGATTGCGGATCGCGGATCATGGATCGCGTATCACGGATCGCGGATCGCGAATCGTGGATCGCGGATCGCGGATCGCGGATCGCGGATCGCGGATCGCGGATCGCGGATCGCGGATCGCGGATCGCGGATCGTGGATCGCGGATCGCGGATCAAAGATCGCGTATCCTGGATAGTGGATTGTAGATTGTAGGTCCTGCATCGTGAATTCTGGATCGCGGATACTTAAATCGATTCGATCATAAATCATGGTCACGAACACCATGCAAACATGCAGGTGAAGATCGTGAATCGTGGACCTGGGACCATGAATCAAGGATCGTGGAACGAGCCCGTGACGAAGGTCACGGATAAAACACAGATGATATATAAAACTATCAGTAACTTACTACACGGTCGTACAGAACAGGCGGTGGTTTCCAGGCCAACGCGTCCTCACGGGGTGTCTTAACAAGCCACTTGCGTTTAATTGCCACGAGAATAAGTGGCACGATGCGCAGAAGCTGCAGCGCATATCCAGTCAGAGTAGCTAACATGATGTAACAAATGAAGAATACAGCCTGAGATGGGAGCGCTTCCGCCAGGAAAGATGGAATCTGGCTTGGATTGTCAAGCATGTCCCTCATTTTATTAAGAGCTGACCCAGCGAATGTCAGGAATAGGAACTTGTTCACGACCTGTCAAACAACGTAAATAGAAAATAACTTAGTTAAGTGTAAGTTTAAGTTTTATAATACTTTGTCGCATATATGCTAAGAAAACAAAAATATAAAGCTGGCAAAGGGAAACTTAATTCCCATTCTACGGCAACGCTCCTTTCAATAAAAAGGTATAAAGTAGAAACCTAAGTGTATATTACAAAATAACATGATTCGCTGAAACACATTTACAAAATAGACTATTGAGTTAATGAACCCACAGCTGAAAGCACTCTCAGTTAATATTTATTTATCAAAGTCCTCCAGGCTAGAAACTAATAAGGTTTGATACTTATACAATAATTTACATATTTATCACATTTTTATTTGCTTGTATTTATTTTTAGTGTATGTATTAAGTGTATGTCGAGTGTAGTAGGGGATTAGATCGCAATTGGGACGTTAGTTCTGTTGCTTTCCCCCGTCACATCCAGTACTATTTTGAATTTATTTGCCCATTAGAAGTTATTTGTTTATCTATTTTAAGTTATTTGTCTTTGTATTTTGGTGACGAACTCATTAAACTAAAAACTAAACTATATGTTATAGCTTTCAAAAATGGTGGCAAACGCAACGTCCTTATTTCCTTTTGCGAAAGACAGTAAAATTTCGATAAATTATTAATGAAGGAGAAAGTGTTTTCGGCTGTGTGTGGAAACACCTGGTGCTGAGTTCCGCGTTTAAAATATACAAGGACATCATTCTCTGTCTCCCTTGACGAAATCTACTTTAAAGGTACCACGTCACGGTTCGCGCATCTTTGTAGTTTAAATAGTTTATAGCTTGAATTTTTCAAGTTCGTCGTTTGTAATCCGTGCTAATCTTCTCCATCCTTAACCATCCTTGTTCCTTTATGGATTCTTAGTATTTGGTAAGTATTTTCTATCTTAGTAAACTACTATTTTCAAGTTTCCATCAATTTAAAGGTAATTTTGTACATCGCTAAAATAACTCGAAATACCGTGAGCTGAGCTTTTTTAACGGCTTTTTGACAACATAACAATTTTGGTTATTATTTAAGTGGATACCACATTTCCACAAGGAAGAAAGGTAACTCGCTACAATTGTAATGTAGATTTTGAAAAACTCATAAACTAACGGCGACATTACCATGAAAATAAACAACTTTCCCAGAACTGATTTGTCAACTTCACTACAGGATGGAATTCCCTCCAGCTTGCTGAACAGTTGCAAGACCTAACAAAAGAAATAGTGTTAAAGATGGATACTCGCTTTTGAAATTAATCTAAGTATTAGTTACGAAAGGGGGGGGGGGGAAGGAGGAGGATGGAATGGTGAGAATAAGGGGGGCATGTCAAAAAATATGGCTTCACAAGGAGGGGAAAATTGGTGTGTATGGTGTGTAAGGGGGTGGGGGAAGTCACTCAAAATAATAACCATTAAGTGTATTGACGGCATCTATAACAGTGAAAAAATTCCACCGGAATTTCTAAAATGGCGTTTCTCAGGTTCTAAAAATCTATTTTTTTTAGGGAAGCATGTACCTTCCCCCCTACCCCCGACTTTGATGTGTACCAAACAGCATTAACTTATGCAAATACAGTCGAAGAACACTAGCAACCAAGTCTAATCGATAAACAGATTATCCGTACAATTGGAATATTACTACTTTTATTATCACTGAAAGATGCAAGCATTCCCGTACGAAGAGTTTTTTACCACATTCTGCTCGCGTGCAAATACTGGAGCGAGAGCCAAAAAAAAAACATATAAAAAACTAAAATAACGGCGAAGCAGGGGGTGGCAAGGCGAGCAAGGTTACTGAATATTCACGCCCCGTCCACACTACGCCGGAGAAATTTGGAAACACAACAATCGCCGGTCATTTTCGATTTGTCTTTGGGCCTGAAATGTACTCTCTATACTAACCAAAGGTAGAATAGCGAAGAAAATCATCAAAGCTAAACTTGACAAGAAACCCTCAATTGCTCCTTTCACAAACGCGTTTAGATCCAGCACTACAAAGAAAAAAGAAAAAGACAAAAGTGTTAATAGTCCCGATAAGCTGTTTTAGAGCTTGCCCATGAAAGAAACGACCATTCAAATTTTAGTAAAGAATGCGTTGCCTTAATTTTTTCTACACATGACAAGCAACATATTCGATGGCCTCTATTTTGGCAGATTCGCATTTTCATATGTCTATTTAGGAATGTCTTACAGGTACCCTCAAAGCGCAAAAAAATTAAAAATAACATGTTGGCTAAACTTGTGGCTAGCCAAGAAAAGGCTGCGTGATCTCACCTGGTTTCAAAAATGGCGCAATTTTCGTCAGGTTCTGCAGCTCAACCAAAGTTGATGTGAACGCCACAGGCACAGTCCAGAAGAATACCAGCAGGAACACCAAGAAATAGATCAGTACCGTACGCAATTTTCTGGAAACAAATTAAACCCATAACTGATAAAAATTCTATAAATTATGCGAGACTACGTTCTTCTTTAACGTGGCGCGGCAGTGATAGTGTCATATCCGAGTCTCTGAAAGTACAAAGCTAAGATCTTTGTTTAGATGTGCGAGAATTGAAAACTGCGTACTAGGGCTTTACAGAGATGAAAATGTAAACAAAGAGACGAACCATGGTTGATTGCCAGAATACAGATGGAGTCTCGGTCGGGCCAAATTGATCCATATACCGACGGAGCTTATCAACGGTTTCCTGGAGAGACTAGAAGTATTTCTACTCCCCCCTGGATGGGATGCTAGTCCATCGCAGGGTTACCTCCCAGCATTAAACGTTCACCGGTACCCATTTATACACCTGGGTGGGGAAGGCGCTGTAAGAGTAAAGTGTCTTACCCAAGAGCACAACGCAATATCGCCGGCCGGGGATAGAAACCGGACCGCTTACCATTAGGTCGTCGAATGCCAACCCCTCTTAGACAAAAAAAAGTGTTTCGCAAAATAAGTTATGGGAAAATAGGAGGAGAAGAACCAAAATTTACTCCTAGATTATGCATTTCTCTATAGAACGACACAATTATTAGTAAAATAAAACAGAAACAGTAGTAGTATATTTTACCTTTGCCAAAGTCCAATAGAAAGGTTATTCCAGATGACATTGGAGAACTCAGGAGCTGGCATAACGTCAAAAGTCAGGGGAGAGGGTTCCCACTTGGCTTGAGCTGCCAGTGCTGATGTGCGGAGAGAACGGAACACGGCAAAACTGCTGGGCAGAAGGTCGTGTTTCTTCTCTGTTTCTGCGTCCAATTTAGCTTGTACGGCCTACAAAGAAAATAAGCAAAGTCTTAAGAAAACTCGTTTAAAGGACTATTAACATACGAAGGGACGGTGGGGTCACGGAGAGAGCGGGAATGGGTGGGTTGATGGTGAAATTGTCAACAATATGACGGCTGTTCAATTTAGCAGTTGAATTGAACATCGCGAAGTTGAACAATTAACGCATTTATTATTGCAAGGCACGTCAATTAAATTACAGTGGAATCCCGCCTTGCGGCCACCTCGTTAATTCGGCCACATTATATTGGCCCGAAAAAAAGCTCAGTCAGTCATTTTTTTCATTTAAACAACCCCTTTAATACAGACACCCCGTTAATACGACCAGATTTTTGTGGCCCGTTGGTGACGGGATTAACGGGCTTCCACAATTAAGGCCTCAAAAGACCGAGCAAAGACAAAAAAAAAAAAAAAAAACGTTTGAGACAACTTATAGGATTTTACTTTTCTCTCACTTTAGATATCGAGCGATCTCTTCGACAGTTCACTGCTTTTTATACACTTGTACTTTACAGAGAAATGAATTGTAGAATTAACTAGTTCCTTACTTCAAGCTCTGATTTAAAATGGTCGATAGAATCCAGTTTTGCTCCACAACAGATTAACTTCCGATGTGTCGGCCTCTCTCCAGTTTTCTCGAGTACTGCCTGCAACGCAAACAATACATCGACATATTAACCGCAAAACAACGATTATTTTACCCATACCATGATTATCATCTGACATTATTTCATTCAAAGAAGCGTGACACTCTTCTCCAGTTATTCACTCCATTATGTCCAATTCAATATCTTCGTTCAGTACACTGTCAGAACCAAAAGGCCCAATAAGAAGGAACCCGTGCGAGCCCCTCACTGTTACGATTCCGCTTTCCGCTTGTATAGAGTACTCCTTCCTACATCAGCCACGCTGGCTTGCAGGGAAGCTAACGTAAATTCATGGCCACTCAAGCAATGACTGTGAAACTCACATTAGCGTGTTCCAGCTTCCATTTCAGTGCGTCACGCTCATTCACCAGGTCTTGCCACTTGGCCAGATCTTCGACAATGACGACATCTTCAACCTGGAATCGTAAGATATTTTATGTGTTTAAAATTCAGTACTCCTTACTCCCTCAGTTTCTGTCCCAAGGTCAAAATATATCTTCTCTTTAATGATTGTCATGCATTTCTTGCAACGTCAGTTTTGAGAATTAAGTCGGTACACGAGTCCTGGTCAATTATTACCTTACTTCAGTTTATTATATGGCTAGCTCCATAAGCTATCCATTTAAATCCTGCGCTGTGATTGGCTACCCACGCGGGCAAGATGGAGCTCTCTTGCGCGCTCGTGATTACCCGCTGTGTCCCGCAACAAAACATTGTTCTTTCTTGCATAAATCCTTCATGGACTAAGCTTGTTCTGTCGAGATGGCTGGATATTAGCCTCGTTCTGTTTTATGTAATAATGATATTTTAACGGGAAGCTTTCTCACCCTTAGGTGATCTACATCTTGCGTGTTTATGGACCGAGACGGAGCCGAGGTCCATAAATACGCAAAAAAAAAAAGAACTTGGCCAATATCCAGCCATTTTGACTTCACACTTGGTCAATAACCCATATTTATTATATGGCTAGCTCCGTGAGTGAGCAAGATGAATCAAAGCCTGCCGGCCCTGTGATTGCCTTCCCGGGCGGACAAGATGGCGCTATCTTGCCCGCTCGGGACTACCCGCTGCGTCCCGCAAGAAAAAATACCCCGAAAGCCATATATAAATGAATCCTTTTTTCGAGTTTCTGGACCTCGACTCTGTCTCGGTCTATAAACACACAAAAAACAGAACTTGGCAATATCCAGCCATCTTGATCTCGTGATTGATCAATAACCCATATGTAATCACAATTTTTTTTTTTTACCTGGTCGGGAAACAGTTCTTGTACGTGGCTCTTCAAACTTTCTGGATCCTTCAGCTGATGAATAAAACAAAAAAAAGGAGAAATTAATAATAGAATAAAGATGAACACGTAATGTTTTCATAAACTGAATAGCCAGAATAAGTAAAAATTTGTTTTTTAAATCACGGTATTAAATTTTGAAAGATTTTGCAATAGCTTGCTAATTGCGTGCACAAAAAGATTTTAAACTATATTTTAAGGGCACACACTCCTTTAACGAATTCCAAAAGGCCTGCTTTTATGGAAATGAGTACATTATTGACAAAATATATATGTTGTGGGTTACCGTTTCGTGGAAAATCTATTTAGCGGGCTTCAACTCGAATGGCGTAATGGAGAAATCTTTGAACAAAAAAAACATTCAAAAAACACTTACAGTATTCAAAAAAGCTTTTTATTCATAATCCGATGTAAGTATTCAAAAAAGCTTTTAGTCATAATCCGATGCAAATGAGTATTTTTACTTATTGTAAATGCATTTCTTAAGTGATGACTGTAAAGCGTTAATGGCTGTACGGAATAGGCCATTCTCGAGTTGCCTTTTGCCTCTGTGTCAACCATTCACTATAGGTTAATTTTTCTGATGAAAATTAAACTAATTTTCACATGAAAGGTTTTGCAGGAAGACTCCTTTTGAAACAGAGGTACAAGGTAACTCGGAAATGGCCTATTAGCGCTACCTATTTTTATTTTTATTTTTATTTTTATAGAAACTCCCGCTAGAGATAGACTTCACTGAACAGATGGTGTTTCAGGCGAGTTCGTTGAGAGAAACATCAAGATGGTCCCCGGAAAAGATCTGTGACAAAGCGGCTGGAGAATTAAAAGTGTTAACCCCACTAAACGATTGAAAAACTAGGGAAAAACGACTAGTGCGCAAGAGACGACAAAGTATTCACGTTCCAAATTACTAAAGTGTTTCGGTTCCTTTGCCGGCTTGAAGAAAAGTCGGACTATCGTACAACAGGCGAACCTTCCAATCTGACCATGAAAACGGCACTGCATTATCTATGCGTATACGTGTTATCATACTAATTATGATATTCACTACCTGATAAAACAAAACAAGGGACGTGACACGTCACAACTGGTACACGTGTGAATCACAAAAGCCAATGCGCGTGGTTTTTTCAAACACACAAAAATAACCAGCGACGCTTTCATTCGTATTATTCTTTGAATCTTTTGTTTTCTTCTGGAGTTTTCTTTCAGTTAGCCGAATTAAAACCCAAATGCGGAAAGCATCAACTTTTGCTCCTATATTTTCAAAGCGTTGCGCGTGATCGAAACGAGACAACCAGCACGTGTCACGTCAGACTGTCACGCACACTGTAAGTAACGCCATCCGAAGAAAAACTACATCAAATTATCGAATCAGCCTGTTTTTAATGTATTATTTATGTGGAGGGAACACCTTTATCCTACCAGCTGCATGCACATGCTGCGACAAATTCGACTGACATTTTCAAGTCGTCTAAGACAAATTTATTTCCCTCGATAGTTTTTAAACGGAAAAAGATAAACTGTGCATAATTGAAGCGATCGATACTCACCTTTGTCGGCAGATCTCTCACCAATACCGCGTAATGTTGCGCCAAGCCTTGACCGAGAAACTCCTGACGGTAAACAATAAACGCCTTCCACTCTTCGTACAAAAGGTAACAGATGATCAAAGTGTAGACCCATGCGGCCACAACGTGAGCCCAGACTTTTGGTGACTTTGGTACGATGTTCGACAGAGCTATACTGTCAAGCCCGCTCAAGTCCGCTCCGCCGAAATAGTTCACGGGGATCAGAACGACGATTCCGTACGGCATAAGGACCAAAGCGATTTTAAAGCAAAGCTTCATAAATCTCGTGTGGACGACTGCGTCGATTCCAGCGTAGCGGAAAACCTCGTCGTCTTTTACGACAAACGCGGGAATAACCCATGAAAAGAACGATTCTGCACGTCTTCCCGGGGCCAGAGTTTCCACCAAAAGCTGTCTTGGCGCGTAAATAATTTTGTGCTTTTGCCGCAGGAGGCAAAACAAGATCAAGCATATAAGCGCTATAATCAAATTGAGAATAAGCGCCGAGACGAATTTGTTTGTGCTGTCCGTGGCTTCATCAGCTCCGTTGGTATCGTTCGCCATTTTTTTCAGTGAATGATTTTCACTGCTTTGTCTCACAGCTACACCCAAACTTGCGGGTGAATTCACCAGAGTACTAGATTTACAATCGTGATGGGCGCTATAGACAATTATAAATGTGACCACAAATCTGTCCAATAGAATCAACGGATTTGGTGATCACGTGGTGCCTGACTAGCCTTACACGTCCGAACTGACAACAAGTTAATGCACGAGACCCGTCTAGCAATTTCTGTCTCTTACTAGAGGGCAAACAACGCTTTCGTTGTGAAAACCTCACTCTCGTCAGCTTCAATACAGCAATGTAAAGACAAAAATAACACTTTCCGACTTTCCCCTTACACTGGGAGACCAAATCGCGTGACATTTCTCGAAACACGAAATTGTACAGCAATCAGCAGGCAAAACAAATGTTTGTTTCAAGCACATCTAGTCGACCATGACGAAGAAGGCGTAAATTATATAACTTCAAATATGCAGATATCACTCACGATATTGTCACGCATGTGACTTCAAACATCAATGATTTGAAAATCGGTAGTAAACAATTAACACTTCGTGAGTGTCAATACGAAGGATTTTATATTTCAAGGATCAAAATTCGTCACGCGTGAGCAAAGCGCGAATTTCAGAGCAATGTTTGTTCGCGAAGGAGTATATATTTTACTTATCTTCCAAACAAAAACCAATGTTCTCGTGATTTCGAATGCAAACGGCCCGAAGCACATACTAGTTTTGAAGAGCTGGGAAACGTTTAGAGTTTCCGATAAAACCTTTATTGCTTCAGACGGTCTAAGTAGCACTATTCATCAATTATTATTTACATTTATTAGAGCTCTCAGCCGACACCTTTTTCATTCGTACTTTATATAAAAGACATTCCCTCAAAAACGCTGATATCAGTTATCTATGATGCAAATATTAAACGGCCGTGAACCTTCTAATTTTGCAGCAATATCGCGTGTTTTTAAGTATTCAACTTGCAGTTTTTGGCTTATTTAAATAAGGGCTGGGAATCCGACAATTCGACCGGATGGGAGTTGGGAGAGAAGTTCCAATTGACAATGGAGAAAATATCAACAAAAAGTGCAATTTCCTGAAGGCTTTTATTTTCAGTTCTAAAAAGACCGTGATGTTTCTTAATGACACAAAAATAGAACCTTAATCGAAGTTTGGACGTTTCTGGATCATCTTTAAGCTTTCTTCAAGTGATGTCCACACACGTACACATAAATATTCTAAAAGCCACTTTCCTGGGAACAAAACTCTTAGTAACATCCAACCATTTTTTTCTTCCTTTGTTAATTCTTTTAACCGATAAAAATTATCTTTCCGTTGAGTGATATGACACACAAAAAAAATTTGTTCTTTAATAACTGGAGCTTTCTGCCGCATAGTCTAATGTTTGAGAAACCTTCTAGATCTATTTTTTTTCCCCCAAATTCTGGCGGTTCCGCCGAACACGTTTCGTCTGCTTCCAGTTTGTTCTAAAAAAACAAAAACCGCAAGGTTTGAAATGAGAACACACCATTCAGTTAAAGTTTGCTCTCTTTATGTTACTTGAGTGATTTAGAACAAAAAACCGCTTCAGCTATTATTCGAAGGTCCTTCCTGAGATTTTCTGCCAAAGCACCCTTAACTATTGTGACGAAGTTAAAACGAGACTCAAGAGTGGATGTGAGCTGCGGACGATTCGAGCGATAGCTCCTTGCTTACGTATTTTTTTTGAAATACTTGCTCAGTCGAAAAGCTGGAAATGCCAGTCCTAGAGGCAAAAAACCTGGCTAAAGATGGAGATTTTCTCTCATCGCATGGTGTTCCGTCTGGAAAAATTGACACTGACTTTTATTAAATTTCCATTAATTTAAAGATATACCAATAGATGATTTGACTGGTTACTAAATTGATTACAAAACTAAAACGAAAGAAGCTTAATTTGCCTCAGTCTTAATTCTTTTGGGTCGTCTTTACATTAGATGGAGCCTAACAGAGAACTTTTTCCTTTTATTAAAACTAAGATATTCGTATTAAATGACACCATCTTCAGCCACCTCAGACACTTAAAATATCAATTCCTATTTACTTATACCTACTGGCTCTGCTATAACAGGGCCGAGGCAAAAAACTTGGCAATACGTTTTACGCCGTGCAACTTGAGCAATATGTAATTAGTGTACACTTTTCTTATATATATTATGACCTCTGTACTGGAAACACTTATTTAACAATTCTTAATTCTTGAAGTCAGCACCTTCTTTTTAGTCCCATTTTACAACAAGTGTTAGACCCCACCCCAGGTCCCTAAACCATCGTCCACCACCCCCACCGTATTGGCGTCCAAACCACCCCGTCCCTTACACCTTGGGACTTCTGTTTTTTTCCTATTTATTTTTAGCTGAATCTCTTTGTGGTTTAAACTAAATTAAGCTTGATAAATTAACTCTAAAGCAGTGGTATCTATATAGTATTGCATACCTTTCCGGTTCTTTTCCACTGCTATACATGTAGCACTCCACTCTTCCCACTCTTCTCCCTTCTTGAATAAACATGCAGGACCGTGCACCATAAAATTCCGAAAGCTATACACGCTAAAAAAAGTTATATTTTTCAAGGAACTAAGTGCTTTCCTATCCAACATACCATTGCGTCTGGGACACGATTAAAAATATAGTTACATACAGTTATGGTTACATGTATTATATAAAAGTGCATTTACTGACCAAATGACTACATCTGAACTAAGGGTAGTTTTAAAAATCCATGTTCAAACGTTCTCAATTTTTATGTTAACGATTTTTAAAATTCAATATCAGCAATTCCGAGTTATTCGGTTATGCAGTTATCACGTAATGTAACATAACCTCTTCAGTCCACGACTTTAGTTTCCCGTGCAGTTCCCGCTAGGCGGGTTCTTCGGTCAACGATTGTCTACTGGAAGGGTTTGGTGTGATATCAGGCGACATCTCTTCGTAGTCGTGTGAATAATCGCCATTTGTGGACGAAGAACTGAGGCCATACGCTGGTGGGACTCGATGGTTTCTTACATAACTTCGAGCAACTTCCTATAANAAGAACTGAGTTTAAAATCACAGAAAAACCAAAAAGGGTCTGGATGGAGTTTAACTGATAGTTGAGAATTGGTCAAAAATTTTAACTACCAGCAGAGGAATGACGCACTTTTCAACTGAAAGCTTAGATCTGAGATCTGTAAACCTTACACTGATACTGATGGCTGGGAAATCACACAAAACAAATTAAAATAGCATTCCAAAGAGTTTGTTTTGCAGAACAGTACTCGACAAATGACAGCAAACCATCAGGTCAAGTGTGGGTGGCTGACAATGGCGAGAATGGGAGCCCGGCCAGGGAATTGTAAAACGGAGAAACTTCAAAAATGAAAATGAGTTTGAGATTGTACAAATGAACTCTTACCTGTTGAACACAATTGGCCACATGCGTCCGCCACAGCTGTAGACTGGGATGTAAACACACAGTATCTGATGCATCCACGCGACATAACCAAACCCAAAGTAAATGGCAACGAACGGAGTGATGAGCGGAGCGAGGACTGAGTACGAGATGCCCAAGATCAGAACGAACAAATGGTCGGTGTACTGAAAAAGACGAGTCAACAAAATTTTACTATGGACATTCACAGTTAGGTCGCACACAAGACAAGGTTTTCAAAAGGACAGTAACCAAGGGAAGTTCAAATGTATCATGGACTGCCAAGGCGTCGCACAGTTTACAATAAAAATGACCCCCCCTCCTCCCCCCCACGCCATCCCCAAAGAAAAGGAAATAACCAATCAAAGACAGACACTATAAGGATCTCTTTAAAGTTACGCCTGTAAGCATACTTTTTGGAATAGGGAAAAAGAGGATGCTTGTGATGAGTGAAAAAAAAAAGCAGCATTGGGAATAAACCCGCTACTTAAGTTTCGTGACTTTAAGATGGCCGCCAGATACGCATGCAAACATATCTAACTCTGCCTTCCAAAAATGCCAAAATACAGTCGAATCTCCCGTGAGCGACCACTCAAAATGCCAAGTTTAGGTGGTCGCTCACTGGAGGTGGTCGCTTACGAGAGCTTAGACCATACTGGGTCAAAATTATGCCTCATTAGCATGTGGTAATTTTAAGACATTTAATGTCATTTCTTTCAAGACTGATACCATACAGTGAATCTGTATATATTCTTTCAATTTTTAAATGTTTTATTCATGCAAAAAGTTAGTTTCGAGAAAAAATCCGGTACTTCCCATTGAGAAATTTACTACCCAGGAATGCAATAATGTCACAACACCTTATTATTCAATTTTTGCTCCACTATCTGTCAAGTGGTCGTTTACGGTTGGTTAAAAACAAAAGAAAATTTCAAACGTTTAGATCTAAAAGTAGTCTCGGTCGCTTACAAGAGGTGGTCGCTTACAAGAGGATCCAAATGCAGTGATTTGACTTGGAAACTTTTGGTATTTTGGAAAACTGGTCGCTGAGGAGAGGTGGTCGCTTACGAGAGAACGTCGCAACCGGAGGTTCCACTGTATTCAGTTTACGCAAGGTACAATCACGCACAATTTTCATACACATAATTTGTTCCTTTAACTATCCTCTAAATTAGTGTTAAGAGATACAGATTTAACCATAGTATGATTTAACAAAGACAAAACGACAATTCAGCAAAGCGAAGGATACTCACCACTCGATCGTACATCACATAAGGTGGTCTCCAGGCCGCCTCGTCCTCTCTGGGAGTGTAACAAAACCACTTCCGTTTGATAGGGATAACAATCAGATAAACAACTCGCAGGAGTTCCAATGAAAAGCCTGTAAAGGAGCGCAGCATGATGTAGCAAATGAAGAAAGTGGCCCGTGCCGGCAGGGATTCCGCCAGGAAGGTTGGTATCTCCTCTGGCTTTCTTAACATTTCTTTCAGTTTCGCCAAAGCTCCTGACCCAACAGTCAGGAACAGAAACTGATTGACAATCTGTGTAAACACACCATCCATTAACGATATGATTCTAGAAACGTTGTAGCTTATTATTTCTACGTAACTCTAATATTTTCAAGCCAGGACAACGGTTTACTTTTGTCTGGAAAGAAGGCAGAAATCCGCCTTCTATACTGAGAGCCCTGTGTGCTCAAAAGACACACGATAGAGATACAATAAATATGTTACTAATCTCACCTTCTCGGTCCGCACTGTAAGTTATGGATCCTCGTTTTTTTCCCTTCGATTCATGACTCAACCGCAAAGAGTAAAACTCGGTCCGAAAAATTACAGTACAGATCTCAAACACGGTTAGCATGTGGTAAATAACTCAGTAAGGTGGAAAAATTCCAAAAAAATATTTTTAGTGGTTACAACAGCTGAAAGAATGAACGTGATTTACGAATTAAATGCTTGATTTTTCCTCTGTTAGAGTAAAAGCCACAAACAAATTTCAAAACTAGCCTAAGGGTAGACAGAGTGACAATTTCATTACCACAAAGATGAAGAGTTTTCCCAACACAGACTTGTCCACTTCACTCTGGCACGGTATTCCTTCAAACTTGGTAATCTTTTCCAGAATCTAAGAAATTAAGAAAAGGACAAAGGAACGAGTTGTGGCAACAAAAACTCTATGCTACTACCAGATGGACCCAATGGCTAAAACACAGTCCATAATTGAAAACGAAGCTTTACTTCTACTGTTAGGCCCTATCGTCAACACTATTCCGTTATGAAAAAGTAGCTTTTCGAAAACGCTCTTCAAACCGCAGGAATTTAAAAGCGCAGGCTTTGTGTTTTAGTGTACACGGAAAAAAAATTTGAAAGCAAAGCTTTTCCAATTTCGAAAATGATGACATCACGACAATCACGTGATTTCCCTGCCAGGGTTTTGCTCAAACACATACATGTATCCGAAATGACCGGTGATTGTCGCCGTTTTAAATTCCTGCGGCGTAGTGTGGACGGAAAACATTTGATGCGTTTTCAGCGTGAAAATACTGTTTTCCAATTTCTCCGGCGTAGTGTGGCCTAAACTGTAATTGAAATAACCTTCGACCTGCCAGCTGCGTGACAAAAATAATTTTGTACCTTCTTTTTGTACTCCATTGTCCCCTTGAATCTTAGACAATTATTTTTATAATTCCTGTACGAGATGATGGAAAGGGGCAGAGAAGGCCAGTTTGCACAGCACAATGATTCTTCAGTTTCTTTTACATAATATAGGCTACACATGAGTTGGAAAATATGCAAGCATGTTAAGTGAACAAACAATGTCACATTTACCGGTATTTATAGACTTACCAGTGGCAAAACTGCGAAGAATACCCACAATGTTATACTGGACAAAAAACCTTCAATAATCCCCCTCACAAATTCAGAATAAGATAGCACTGAAAACAAAATAAATAAATAAAATAAACAATGATAACTCGGAGGAATTTAAAGCATATTACTAACTAGATTTACATTCTTGATCATCTGAGTAGAAAATGTGCCCAAGAAAATATTTGGCTTACACAACAGGACACATTGAAAAGAAGGGCTGTTGACAGCATTATTTTTTGTGAAACACCTCTGAGACTTGGACCAGGAAATATTCAAAACATCTTCAGACCGTCAATGTAAATCTTTGGAAGTCTTCAGATATGTTTGGCTAATCTGCGATAATCTGTGACTCCCCGAATAAAAATCTCATGCCTGTGACTCGTAAAACAGTTGGCAGGTACATGATATTAGGGGACTTTAGATCTGAGTACCAGTACAACTTTTCAATTCTAGTTTGCTGACTTCACATTATCACATCGCATACCCATGTCATCCCATGAGCTACCCTCTCTACCTAAAACCAACATGAAAAGCGAGGGCTCTGGAAACATCACTGGATTGAAATTCGAAAATCGTACTCGTCTTCAATCTCATACTCGTAGCCCAATCCAAAGTTCCCTATTGTCTTACCTGGTTCTAGAAAAGGGACCACTTTTGCAAGGTTTTGTAAAGCAATTAAAGATGAGATGAAACCAACAGGAACTGTCCAGAAAAACACCAGCCAAAATATGGCACCATAAATCAGTGCTGTGCAGAATTTTCTGTCAAAACAAAAAGCACACACACCTGACACAACTACGCAATCAACTACTGTGCATTCTATGAAGTTCATTTGTGTGTAGAAAGTTTTGCACAAGTGAAAGCCTCTTTGCAGCCCTCAGCGCAGCTTTGTGTTACCATAGTAACCAACATTTGTTTGGTTTTTGTGACAACCGATGATAACTTTATATGCTCCAACAAAGCAAAGAAACTGTACACTTCTAAGGGTATGGTACAAATAACCATTAAAAACAGACTAATCGAATTTAGGATTAAAGTTTATGAGCCAGTCAAAGTACCGGTATTACAATGTTTGTAGAGAGGTTGGTAACTTTGATTTTTTTAAAAAAATACTTTACAGCTGTAGATAGAATCACTGAGCATTAGATGCTTCTGAAATAATGTGATAGGTACATTTATCAAAAAGGTTGGGCACATCCTTAGCTCTCATTATCTAATAAATGTTTTCATTGATCAATTTTCTTTCATCTGGGCCAGTACAAGATATACATGCACAGTCATAATAATACATGTATATGTAGAAAGTCTTTATCAGCATACCTTCGTCAAATGATAACTTTGTTGTGTTGTTTATGAATAAAAAATGTCAAAAAAAAAAGCATACCTTCGCCAAAGACCAACACCAAGATTGCTCCAAATTACATTTGACACCTCTGGTGCTTGCATCTTTTCTATATGCAATGGGGAGTTGTCCCATTCTACTTGCAAGGCTGTCGTTGCCATACGCAAACTTCGGAAAATCACAAAAGCACATGGAAGAGTGTAATGCTCTTGGTTAACATCATCCTCTAGCTTGGTTTGTAGTGTCTGCAAATGAAGAAAACCACAATCAAACCAAGTCATGTTGAATTCAAGTCAGACTAACAAAAATTAGATAATCAGGATCATTTAGAGGGCTTTAAAGAACCGACACAAAACTAATTAAAAATGATGATTTTGTTTTTTGGATGCTGCATTCAAAAATTGAATCACATTCATATCAGGATAGTGGTCAACAAACTGCAACATGATCTCTATCCCTTGATTTTTTACATGTGTTGATAACCCACTCCAGTCAGTACATTTGTTCCACAGTTTACACCCAATCATACATTACTTCACAAATTAATTTACCGTCAAGTCTCTCTCATAGTGTGTGATGGAGTCAAGCTTAGTGCCACAGGGATAGGAGCGATGGGTTGGTCTTTCTCCAGTGGTGTCATAAATAGCCTGCAAGACAAATAACACAACAAAGTCATGACTTTTTTCCTCTCTTTTTTGATATGTTTTCCCCTTTATTTCATATTATTATACGGGCAGCTCCGTGAGCGGGTCGTGAGTGGGCAAGATAATCAAATCCTGCACTGTGATTGGCTACCCAAGCGGGCAAGATGGAGCTACATATCTTGCCCGCTTGGGACTCCATCTCGTTCCATAAACACGCAAAAAAAGAACTTGCCCAAAATCCAGCCATCTTGACCTCACACTTGGTCAATAACCCATATTTATTATATAAACACTAGTGAAATACCAGGATTTCTTCTTTTACTAAAAAATCATATCTTCATCCCGCGCAGTGAAGATACTATTTTTATCTTTCACGTGTGAGGATATTGGTGTCGCCATGGTTACTAACATGATAATTGCTTAAACTGAACTTAGATGTGTTGCTGTGTGATCAAAACATAATCGGATCTTCCTCAGATATCTTCAGTTATCTTCGGAAATCTTTGGTAATCTTTGGAAATTTTCGGAAAATGTTCGGAAACATTTGTCTGGCCTTCGGACAACTTTTGGAGAATCTTCGGAAATCTTTGGAAAGTGTTCGGAAATCTTCAGAAAATCGTAAAAAAATTGTCATTAGCATGTTTATATAAAAAACAGAACAATACATGTCCGCTTGTGGATACGAATTTTACCTTCTCGTGTTCAACTTGATATCTCACTCGTTCGCTGCGCTCACACATGAGATATCAAGTTGAACACTCGAAGATAAAATTCCTATCCACGCTCGGGCATGTAATATCCTCTGTTTCACATATACATACATATATGCACATATAAATCATGCATTTAAATAGACTATGAGCAGTTGGTTTTCGTTCCGAAATCCTCTGCTTGATCATTCTTCCTTTTGCTATGCATTTTGTATTTTGTTGCACATAAGGAAAAAATGAGATCGCTTGAAACCTAGCTTTTAAAATACTTTTCACTTCAGGATACCCGTAGCCTGTGTACGCAGACATACATGTATTTCCGGCTGTCGCTTGTCTCCGTCGAAAATAACAACAAAACAAAAGTTTTGACATCCCTGTAATTAATCTCTCACTCGGGTTCGCAGATGGCAGAGACAGGTGAGAGCCGGAAACATGTCCACTTTCACAGACTAGGATACTGGTGTTTTTTATACCTTGCAGATTTGAAGATAAGAAGATTTGACTTTGATGAGCAATCACGCCTCAGTCATACATTAGTCACCAGGCTGAGATAATTCCCATTAAGGTTTACAGTTTATTAGGGTTTACAGTTAACTGTATTACATTTTGATTTTATAATATGTTTTGATTTTATTATATGTTAACTTATTAGTTACTTATTAAGTTATAATATTCTTTACAGGGCCATTCTGAAAACCACTTTATGTGAGATCGCCCCCTGTATAATAAAATAATTATTATTATCACTTATTATCATTTATCATCAAATCTGCTTGTGTTCCCCTCACAACACAGTTACATTCCACAAATTACACACACTTTTAAAAGAAAGTGATGTATCCAATAGTCCAGGGCTAGTATATTTTGCAGTCAGACTAGTTTACAGTTTTATATTTAGCCTTGTTCAAAGAGAGTCAAAGCTTGGAATCTCCAAACTTAAAGAAATGTTCCCCGGTTTACTTACTTTAGAACGTTCCAGTTTCCACACCAAACTGTCATGTTTATCGATTAAATTCTGCCATTTCCTTAGATCCTCAACCATTATCACATCCTCCACCTAAAACAGGATATTGATAATTAGGAAGAATAATTATGACAGATTCTGCCCAAAGTTTGAGCAACACAGAGTTGTATGTGCAAAAATTATTTACTAAAAATCTGCTCATAGCATGTTAACATTTTGAATACTAAATGTACTTGAAACATCTCACTGTAAGTCACTTCTCTGAGCGACCTTGCCATTAAACTGTCTGAAGCATTCTTGAGAAAGTTAATGTCAAATCCCATAAAAATGCGTTAAGCATAGGTTATAATTTTGTTTTCAACCAACATGAAATTTATGTCCATAATTAAAATATGGATAACTTCAAATTCATTTTTCTGTCACAGGCACAGCTTGCCCAGCTGCATGTATTGTAAAGCCTCAATAAGTTCCTCTTACAGGTATTCCAAATATTACCATGTTATGCTAGGTTTTTTTGATAACTTTCTTTTGGCCATAACTGCTCAAATGTTTAGCAGAAACCATCTTAAATTGTCACTGTGAACTAAATACCACCTTAATCACATACATTACATGCATTAAGCAATGCACACAGAGAACTGGATAATGTAAACAACTCTGACTAGTATCACAAACTTACATTGTCGGATAAGGTCTAGACAAGATAATAAATTAAATTAAAAGTCACATGTTCACTGCTCAAACATCACATACTTGCTAATTGCAAAGCAATACATAAAAGTGAGAAACAAAGATACCTATAATCAACATTTTCTGACATGTACCTGTAAGGTCTAATATCTTATGAATTAGAGTTTTGTAGAATCCCGATTTTTCGATCTACCTAGGGAAATGCTAACTGCTTCAAAAAATTGGGAGGTCTGAAAAAGCAAGGATAAATTCCTCCTTATGATACATATGTATTTGCGCAGAGGCAACAAAAATCTACTTTGAATAATCAGAAGACTCCAAAGAATCAAGGGTTCGAAATGTAGGGATTTAATTTTTTTCATGCAGTACACGGTCTGATTTTATCTCTGCTCAAGATATTTTTTTCCCAAATTATCCATTTCTATTCCCACCAAGAAGACTTCTTTATGTGAACGTGCATTGAAAATGGGCATTATTTTTAAAATTAGTATGGTTATATGTGTAATTATTTCTTGAGATCTGCCCAATGTATCTGGAGATGATCGTGGCTGGTTTTACTATCAGAGTTAAACATTATTAGGGGTTTCACTAAGGGCTGGGCACCAGGCAAATTGACCAGCTGTACGTGAGGACAATTTTGCCCAGCTGGTTTGACCATCTAGCAGAAAGTTTTTCAATCAAAGAAGTTCAGTTCTAATACATGTAGATAAAATTGTGTGCTATTTGGAATTTTTTAAATACAACTTTAAAACAAACCTATGCATACCTGGTCTGGGAAAAGTTCTTCAACATAACTTTTCATGCTCTGTTCATTTTGGTACTAGTGTATACAAGAGAAATCAATAAATTAATCTAAAAACAAACCCGCTGCTGACATAGTGCTGTACTAGGTATGTACTGTTGATGTAATTTTAAGTCTTGTGAAGGTTGACATGGTCTTGATGTCAGCTGACCTGCTTTGAGGCTCTATTTAATGTATCAGGGGTTTTTGCGATACAGGATATTTAGGTAAAAAATTAAAGGATAAAGGATATTTTTTGGGGGGAGAGGATTAATGGGATATGGGATATCAAGATCAGATAAAACAAGAAATGCAGTAAAATCGTCAATTTTTGCAATTGGAGCTAGTACATGTAGAGTAGGTCAAAAATCAACGGGATGTGGAGTACACAGACCCTCCTACAATGTAATTAATGGGGTCTCTGCTTTAAATCCCTCCAATCAGTTGTAAAGTTCTTGTTTTAGGATTTACATCTAGGCATAAGTTACATGTATAATTTGATTAGTAGGTAGTCTTTATTTAATGATTGACGAGGATACCACAAAGTAGTATGTACATGTACTAATAAACTAGTGGCCCTCTTACAGGATAATAAATATACTAGAATGAAGATTTGCACGAATAAAAGTTACTAAAAACTTTATAAAACTATGAAATAAATGTAAACACACGATAAGATATTTATAAAGTAAAATGATTAAGAAACTTAACAGAGATTAAGTACTATTAGTGACTCTACTTTTCTCATCTGAAGAGGTAACACATTCCATTCCTGGGAAGCAGTCACAGAAAAAGTTCTTTCACCTTCTGTTTTTAGTGTTACATGCACTCATAAAATGAGAACAAATGCATTTCTGGTGAGGGAGGGAGGGTAGATCCCTAAATCCCCCTTTCCTTGATAAATAGCCACTTCATGAACATGCCACTGCTAATCCCCATTTATTTTCATGTTTATTTCTACTTTCATTTTCATTTTAATTTCCTCCCTTCTCCAAAAACAAAATCTTTTCCCTGAAACTACCAGAATCTCTACTGACGAATAGTATTGGGTAGTGCAAATTATTTTGGAGACCTTTGAGAGAAAAATTAGACAGCCAATAGGAGGAGACTGCTAGGGCGGGGAGCGGGGAGGTGATGGTTTGGAGAGGAAGTAGTTTTGCCATGTAACGTACATATCATGTGGCACATACCTTCACAGGTATATCCCTGATTAACACTGCATATTGGTGCCCTCTTCCATTAGTCAGGTATTCCTGGCGATACATTATGTATATCTTCCATTCCTCATACAAAAGATAACAAATAATTATTGTGTAAAACCATGCTGATATCACATGTGCCCAAAATTTCGACGACTGAGGTGCAACGTTCGACATTGCAATCCTATCCAGGCCGTGTAAATCTCCTTGGCCGAAATAGTTCAGGGGCAGAAGAACAGCGATTCCATACGGCATGATTACCAGGGATATCTTCACACAGAGTCGTAAAAAACGCATGTAAACAAGAGCATCGATACCAGCATAGTAGAACACATCATCGTCGTTTGCCATGAAGGCGGGAATTATCCACGCGAAGAACGAATTTGGTAGCTTTCCCAGCGGGAACATCACATCCAGCAAAAGCTGGCGCGGAGAGTAAATTTGCTTTAGTCTTGGCCGTAAGAAAGAGAATAATCCCAGTGCTACGACAGCTACTGCGAGATTAATCACAATCGACGACACAAACTTGTTGGTGCTTTCAGCGCCATCGTCTGGTGGTGTGTTATTTTTGCCTTCGGTGTTTTCGATGGCCTGTAGAGCAACCTCCCTTAGCTCCCCCAGCTTTAAGAACACATTTCTGGCCATCTTCACTGTAGACAATCGCGAGAATTAATCAGTTTACAAGCAGCTGATCTCAAGATACATGTAGTTGAGCATGGCCAATTCCGCCATGTTTTCGAGTTTTCTGCGAAATGTTTGGCGAGAAGACTGAGACTAGTGAGAACATCCGCTGGCCAAAATATCACGAGCAGTGAGCCCGTGTGCCGGAAAAATGCACACAGGCTGCCCAACGCATAATGCCGTGATGATTGTATATTTGGGTTATTGACCAAGCTTGTTCGGTCAAGATGGCTGGATGTTGGTCAAGTTCTTTTTTTGCACGTTTATGGACCGAGACGCAGTCGAGGTCCATAAACTCGCAAAAAACGAACGAGGCTAATATCCAGCCATCTTGACCGAACAAGCTTGGTCAATAAAGGATTTATTGTATGGGGAAATTTTTCTTGCAGGACACGGCGGGTAGTCCCGAGCGGGCAAGATAGCTCCATCTTGCCCGCTAGGGTGGCCAATCACAGCGCAGGATTTGATTCATCTTGCCCGCTCACGGAGCTAGCCATATAATAAATGTGTTTTATTGTATTATCAGTTATAACCTTGGTAAAATATAACCTGTTTCAGGGTCTTGGTCAATGGCCATTACCATTGGCTAGGCAAAATATAACGAGGTGAGAAAGGCTGTACCTTTTAGACGAGAGAAATACTGGTATACTGATTACTCTCTAGCTAGCACGAGTCTCGTGCATCAGTCAACACTTTTTTTTAGCCCACCCAATCGGTTTTTGGCTCATCCCACCTGATGCCCATTACATGGCAGAATCTGGGCTGTCACTAAATTTAGAGCCTTATTGTGCATCGCTGGAACGCTAGAATTGACACATGAAGTAGCATACGGAACTGAATTGTTTATAGAATGCTTTCCGGCGACGACATGTCTGGTCGTGGATTGATTTACGAAAAGAATTTTCTCACTTCTAAAAAACAACTTTATTGCCAAGCGCTAGCTAAATATAACTTGACACAATCGAATGAAATTCGCATACTGCATAATAATGGAGGAAGCTGCTTAACAACTTTCAAGGACGGTGACCCCTGCAGAGACTGCAGTTTCCTTTGTCTTTTTTATTTCTTTTTTTAGTCTTTTTGTTTCTATTCGATCAAGTGATTCAGTTATGTTTGTTTGGGGGGAACATAATTTCCCACAATTCACCGATGGCGTAGACACCTGCGTGGCGCTGAGGCGTGATATCTCGGACATACTGCTGCTTCATGTATTCAAATAAGCAAAACAGCTAATTATGTTTGGAATAACTTTGAACTGTGTACCAAAGTAGCAAAAAACACCGTCAATATTTTATTCGACCACCTGCCTATGTATTACAAACTAGATTGCTACGATCGATTAAGACCATTGCAACCGGCCAATAACAAGGCGCCAATTTTTTTTTTCAGGGGCAACAAGACCAGAAGACGACAACAAATAATGTGATTATCTCGTATTTTCTCTTGAAAACGGTATATAATACTTTGCATTTTAAACAAGCCACAAAACGTTATTTTGGGCAACTTTCATCAAGCGGTTGTGAGGTCAAACCTCGCCACTCGAACAAGAAAACGTTGATTTTTCGGCGCCAGTCAACAAAATTACTGTATTTAATTTCATCGTCTCGCGAGGTTAATTGAAATCGCTATATCGACGGAAGTTTGTAAACATGTGAGTTTCAATGTAGGGCTTATGTTAACAAATTCTAGCTTTAGATCTCCCCGCGTTAGTTTTTGGGGCTAATCTGCCTTGAGAGATTTACTACAAGTTGTCTGACAGGCCGCCACGAAGTATCAAGAAAAATTAGTATTTGACGTTAATTTATGATCATTGGTCCTGATGGCGAAAATAGAGGATAGAGCATTGGACAATTACGCTAATGATGGCTCACAAAGTGATAATGAAAGCAATGACGATCTTTTCCCCATCACGACAAAAAATGCCGGGAAAATTAAGAGACATCGAAAGCGGAGTTCTTCTTTACCGGTTATTGAGGCGACTCATACTGGACTTTGGAAAGGAGTGGCTGCAGCGACAGATATGCAGTTTGTCAAATCTAATAAAGGAAGCCATTCCCGAACGGAGCAAAAAGAGAAGCCGTGGAAGGGTTTTCCAGCGAATGAATCTGCGGGGATAGAACAGAACTCACTCAGCGAGCACCATCCGACACGAAGAAGCTCGAGCATGCCAGAATTTTACTCCCCTTCATCAGAAAGCAAAAAGGATGGACTTTTCCGCAGGCATCACAAAACTAAAAGAAGCGGGTCAAAGTCGCGGAAGAGAGTTGCTGGGACTGTAACAACAGATTTAGAAATGCAAGAAGACGAAGAAACATTCAAACTACCCATAATATCAAGCGAATTCATTCCTTCAGCCAAGTGTGGCTCGGAAGACCAAAATGGCAACGAACTGGAAGCACTAAGCCAGTCTGTGGAGAACACGAAAATTCAACGCAAAACTTATCTACCTCGTATTAACAACTCCAATAACGGGGGTGTCTTCATGAAATCAAGATAAGGAAAGAAAAAAAACATACAGTGCGGGCACAAGAATACGTAAGTGCTTATGTTACACATAAAAAAAAATCAAACAAATTGACCATTTTTTTGGTTGTTTTGCTTACGTGACTCGGTGGCTCTTGCATGGCTGGATATAAAAACCATAGTGAAGTTTGAGTTTTGGAAAGCCACGCTGTGTAAATTTGTTTTATACAAAAGAATGGAAAACATCTGCTTGCAACTTTTTATTCTCCAACTGGGTTTGTGGATGATTTTTTGCGAAAGCATTTACGCATTTTTAGGGCAAAATACACGCAAAATGTATCTGCGTGNGTTATAATTTTGTTTTCAACCAACATGAAATTTATGTCCATAATTAAAATATGGATAACTTCAAATTCATTTTTCTGTCACAGGCACAGCTTGCCCAGCTGCATGTATTGTAAAGCCTCAATAAGTTCCTCTTACAGGTATTCCAAATATTACCATGTTATGCTAGGTTTTTTTGATAACTTTCTTTTGGCCATAACTGCTCAAATGTTTAGCAGAAACCATCTTAAATTGTCACTGTGAACTAAATACCACCTTAATCACATACATTACATGCATTAAGCAATGCACACAGAGAACTGGATAATGTAAACAACTCTGACTAGTATCACAAACTTACATTGTCGGATAAGGTCTAGACAAGATAATAAATTAAATTAAAAGTCACATGTTCACTGCTCAAACATCACATACTTGCTAATTGCAAAGCAATACATAAAAGTGAGAAACAAAGATACCTATAATCAACATTTTCTGACATGTACCTGTAAGGTCTAATATCTTATGAATTAGAGTTTTGTAGAATCCCGATTTTTCGATCTACCTAGGGAAATGCTAACTGCTTCAAAAAATTGGGAGGTCTGAAAAAGCAAGGATAAATTCCTCCTTATGATACATATGTATTTGCGCAGAGGCAACAAAAATCTACTTTGAATAATCAGAAGACTCCAAAGAATCAAGGGTTCGAAATGTAGGGATTTAATTTTTTTCATGCAGTACACGGTCTGATTTTATCTCTGCTCAAGATATTTTTTTCCCAAATTATCCATTTCTATTCCCACCAAGAAGACTTCTTTATGTGAACGTGCATTGAAAATGGGCATTATTTTTAAAATTAGTATGGTTATATGTGTAATTATTTCTTGAGATCTGCCCAATGTATCTGGAGATGATCGTGGCTGGTTTTACTATCAGAGTTAAACATTATTAGGGGTTTCACTAAGGGCTGGGCACCAGGCAAATTGACCAGCTGTACGTGAGGACAATTTTGCCCAGCTGGTTTGACCATCTAGCAGAAAGTTTTTCAATCAAAGAAGTTCAGTTCTAATACATGTAGATAAAATTGTGTGCTATTTGGAATTTTTTAAATACAACTTTAAAACAAACCTATGCATACCTGGTCTGGGAAAAGTTCTTCAACATAACTTTTCATGCTCTGTTCATTTTGGTACTAGTGTATACAAGAGAAATCAATAAATTAATCTAAAAACAAACCCGCTGCTGACATAGTGCTGTACTAGGTATGTACTGTTGATGTAATTTTAAGTCTTGTGAAGGTTGACATGGTCTTGATGTCAGCTGACCTGCTTTGAGGCTCTATTTAATGTATCAGGGGTTTTTGCGATACAGGATATTTAGGTAAAAAATTAAAGGATAAAGGATATTTTTTGGGGGGAGAGGATTAATGGGATATGGGATATCAAGATCAGATAAAACAAGAAATGCAGTAAAATCGTCAATTTTTGCAATTGGAGCTAGTACATGTAGAGTAGGTCAAAAATCAACGGGATGTGGAGTACACAGACCCTCCTACAATGTAATTAATGGGGTCTCTGCTTTAAATCCCTCCAATCAGTTGTAAAGTTCTTGTTTTAGGATTTACATCTAGGCATAAGTTACATGTATAATTTGATTAGTAGGTAGTCTTTATTTAATGATTGACGAGGATACCACAAAGTAGTATGTACATGTACTAATAAACTAGTGGCCCTCTTACAGGATAATAAATATACTAGAATGAAGATTTGCACGAATAAAAGTTACTAAAAACTTTATAAAACTATGAAATAAATGTAAACACACGATAAGATATTTATAAAGTAAAATGATTAAGAAACTTAACAGAGATTAAGTACTATTAGTGACTCTACTTTTCTCATCTGAAGAGGTAACACATTCCATTCCTGGGAAGCAGTCACAGAAAAAGTTCTTTCACCTTCTGTTTTTAGTGTTACATGCACTCATAAAATGAGAACAAATGCATTTCTGGTGAGGGAGGGAGGGTAGATCCCTAAATCCCCCTTTCCTTGATAAATAGCCACTTCATGAACATGCCACTGCTAATCCCCATTTATTTTCATGTTTATTTCTACTTTCATTTTCATTTTAATTTCCTCCCTTCTCCAAAAACAAAATCTTTTCCCTGAAACTACCAGAATCTCTACTGACGAATAGTATTGGGTAGTGCAAATTATTTTGGAGACCTTTGAGAGAAAAATTAGACAGCCAATAGGAGGAGACTGCTAGGGCGGGGAGCGGGGAGGTGATGGTTTGGAGAGGAAGTAGTTTTGCCATGTAACGTACATATCATGTGGCACATACCTTCACAGGTATATCCCTGATTAACACTGCATATTGGTGCCCTCTTCCATTAGTCAGGTATTCCTGGCGATACATTATGTATATCTTCCATTCCTCATACAAAAGATAACAAATAATTATTGTGTAAAACCATGCTGATATCACATGTGCCCAAAATTTCGACGACTGAGGTGCAACGTTCGACATTGCAATCCTATCCAGGCCGTGTAAATCTCCTTGGCCGAAATAGTTCAGGGGCAGAAGAACAGCGATTCCATACGGCATGATTACCAGGGATATCTTCACACAGAGTCGTAAAAAACGCATGTAAACAAGAGCATCGATACCAGCATAGTAGAACACATCATCGTCGTTTGCCATGAAGGCGGGAATTATCCACGCGAAGAACGAATTTGGTAGCTTTCCCAGCGGGAACATCACATCCAGCAAAAGCTGGCGCGGAGAGTAAATTTGCTTTAGTCTTGGCCGTAAGAAAGAGAATAATCCCAGTGCTACGACAGCTACTGCGAGATTAATCACAATCGACGACACAAACTTGTTGGTGCTTTCAGCGCCATCGTCTGGTGGTGTGTTATTTTTGCCTTCGGTGTTTTCGATGGCCTGTAGAGCAACCTCCCTTAGCTCCCCCAGCTTTAAGAACACATTTCTGGCCATCTTCACTGTAGACAATCGCGAGAATTAATCAGTTTACAAGCAGCTGATCTCAAGATACATGTAGTTGAGCATGGCCAATTCCGCCATGTTTTCGAGTTTTCTGCGAAATGTTTGGCGAGAAGACTGAGACTAGTGAGAACATCCGCTGGCCAAAATATCACGAGCAGTGAGCCCGTGTGCCGGAAAAATGCACACAGGCTGCCCAACGCATAATGCCGTGATGATTGTATATTTGGGTTATTGACCAAGCTTGTTCGGTCAAGATGGCTGGATGTTGGTCAAGTTCTTTTTTTGCACGTTTATGGACCGAGACGCAGTCGAGGTCCATAAACTCGCAAAAAACGAACGAGGCTAATATCCAGCCATCTTGACCGAACAAGCTTGGTCAATAAAGGATTTATTGTATGGGGAAATTTTTCTTGCAGGACACGGCGGGTAGTCCCGAGCGGGCAAGATAGCTCCATCTTGCCCGCTAGGGTGGCCAATCACAGCGCAGGATTTGATTCATCTTGCCCGCTCACGGAGCTAGCCATATAATAAATGTGTTTTATTGTATTATCAGTTATAACCTTGGTAAAATATAACCTGTTTCAGGGTCTTGGTCAATGGCCATTACCATTGGCTAGGCAAAATATAACGAGGTGAGAAAGGCTGTACCTTTTAGACGAGAGAAATACTGGTATACTGATTACTCTCTAGCTAGCACGAGTCTCGTGCATCAGTCAACACTTTTTTTTAGCCCACCCAATCGGTTTTTGGCTCATCCCACCTGATGCCCATTACATGGCAGAATCTGGGCTGTCACTAAATTTAGAGCCTTATTGTGCATCGCTGGAACGCTAGAATTGACACATGAAGTAGCATACGGAACTGAATTGTTTATAGAATGCTTTCCGGCGACGACATGTCTGGTCGTGGATTGATTTACGAAAAGAATTTTCTCACTTCTAAAAAACAACTTTATTGCCAAGCGCTAGCTAAATATAACTTGACACAATCGAATGAAATTCGCATACTGCATAATAATGGAGGAAGCTGCTTAACAACTTTCAAGGACGGTGACCCCTGCAGAGACTGCAGTTTCCTTTGTCTTTTTTATTTCTTTTTTTAGTCTTTTTGTTTCTATTCGATCAAGTGATTCAGTTATGTTTGTTTGGGGGGAACATAATTTCCCACAATTCACCGATGGCGTAGACACCTGCGTGGCGCTGAGGCGTGATATCTCGGACATACTGCTGCTTCATGTATTCAAATAAGCAAAACAGCTAATTATGTTTGGAATAACTTTGAACTGTGTACCAAAGTAGCAAAAAACACCGTCAATATTTTATTCGACCACCTGCCTATGTATTACAAACTAGATTGCTACGATCGATTAAGACCATTGCAACCGGCCAATAACAAGGCGCCAATTTTTTTTTTCAGGGGCAACAAGACCAGAAGACGACAACAAATAATGTGATTATCTCGTATTTTCTCTTGAAAACGGTATATAATACTTTGCATTTTAAACAAGCCACAAAACGTTATTTTGGGCAACTTTCATCAAGCGGTTGTGAGGTCAAACCTCGCCACTCGAACAAGAAAACGTTGATTTTTCGGCGCCAGTCAACAAAATTACTGTATTTAATTTCATCGTCTCGCGAGGTTAATTGAAATCGCTATATCGACGGAAGTTTGTAAACATGTGAGTTTCAATGTAGGGCTTATGTTAACAAATTCTAGCTTTAGATCTCCCCGCGTTAGTTTTTGGGGCTAATCTGCCTTGAGAGATTTACTACAAGTTGTCTGACAGGCCGCCACGAAGTATCAAGAAAAATTAGTATTTGACGTTAATTTATGATCATTGGTCCTGATGGCGAAAATAGAGGATAGAGCATTGGACAATTACGCTAATGATGGCTCACAAAGTGATAATGAAAGCAATGACGATCTTTTCCCCATCACGACAAAAAATGCCGGGAAAATTAAGAGACATCGAAAGCGGAGTTCTTCTTTACCGGTTATTGAGGCGACTCATACTGGACTTTGGAAAGGAGTGGCTGCAGCGACAGATATGCAGTTTGTCAAATCTAATAAAGGAAGCCATTCCCGAACGGAGCAAAAAGAGAAGCCGTGGAAGGGTTTTCCAGCGAATGAATCTGCGGGGATAGAACAGAACTCACTCAGCGAGCACCATCCGACACGAAGAAGCTCGAGCATGCCAGAATTTTACTCCCCTTCATCAGAAAGCAAAAAGGATGGACTTTTCCGCAGGCATCACAAAACTAAAAGAAGCGGGTCAAAGTCGCGGAAGAGAGTTGCTGGGACTGTAACAACAGATTTAGAAATGCAAGAAGACGAAGAAACATTCAAACTACCCATAATATCAAGCGAATTCATTCCTTCAGCCAAGTGTGGCTCGGAAGACCAAAATGGCAACGAACTGGAAGCACTAAGCCAGTCTGTGGAGAACACGAAAATTCAACGCAAAACTTATCTACCTCGTATTAACAACTCCAATAACGGGGGTGTCTTCATGAAATCAAGATAAGGAAAGAAAAAAAACATACAGTGCGGGCACAAGAATACGTAAGTGCTTATGTTACACATAAAAAAAAATCAAACAAATTGACCATTTTTTTGGTTGTTTTGCTTACGTGACTCGGTGGCTCTTGCATGGCTGGATATAAAAACCATAGTGAAGTTTGAGTTTTGGAAAGCCACGCTGTGTAAATTTGTTTTATACAAAAGAATGGAAAACATCTGCTTGCAACTTTTTATTCTCCAACTGGGTTTGTGGATGATTTTTTGCGAAAGCATTTACGCATTTTTAGGGCAAAATACACGCAAAATGTATCTGCGTGTATGCGATACATACAAACAGTAACGAGAAGATTGGGAAAAAAATATTGCACATATTTCTGTAAATAATACTCTTGTTTAGCTTTACAAAGATAATTTTTTTTTTGAGCCAAAATGTTTGCAACGTGTGTCCTACCAGTTTGCAGTTTGCTCTTTGCCTACAGCGTGCGAACTTCAACAACATAGAGTTAACATTAAAAGGAATTATTTCTGTAATAGATTAGCTTCGTCAGCAAATGTTTATCTTACGGAAAAGTAGGACATTTATTTACATTAAATGTAGAACTAAATTATGCATTTGCGAAGGAGTTTTGTAGTGATATTTTTAGCAAACGAAGATGTTGATGGGATTGCCAACTTTGCTCAGTTTATTTTCGTGTCCTAGATTTCAATCATTGACAAAATATGCCCATATCTCCTTTATCCTTGTCAAAAGTCGCCCGCTTGCAACTGAACTCGGAGATTATCCCCAGTGTGTTGAGCTAAATGAATTGGCCTCTAATTTGCCGCCAACTTGGCAGAATATATGGCTAGCTTAGAGAATAGAATATTGAAAAAAAATTCCTANGTTATAATTTTGTTTTCAACCAACATGAAATTTATGTCCATAATTAAAATATGGATAACTTCAAATTCATTTTTCTGTCACAGGCACAGCTTGCCCAGCTGCATGTATTGTAAAGCCTCAATAAGTTCCTCTTACAGGTATTCCAAATATTACCATGTTATGCTAGGTTTTTTTGATAACTTTCTTTTGGCCATAACTGCTCAAATGTTTAGCAGAAACCATCTTAAATTGTCACTGTGAACTAAATACCACCTTAATCACATACATTACATGCATTAAGCAATGCACACAGAGAACTGGATAATGTAAACAACTCTGACTAGTATCACAAACTTACATTGTCGGATAAGGTCTAGACAAGATAATAAATTAAATTAAAAGTCACATGTTCACTGCTCAAACATCACATACTTGCTAATTGCAAAGCAATACATAAAAGTGAGAAACAAAGATACCTATAATCAACATTTTCTGACATGTACCTGTAAGGTCTAATATCTTATGAATTAGAGTTTTGTAGAATCCCGATTTTTCGATCTACCTAGGGAAATGCTAACTGCTTCAAAAAATTGGGAGGTCTGAAAAAGCAAGGATAAATTCCTCCTTATGATACATATGTATTTGCGCAGAGGCAACAAAAATCTACTTTGAATAATCAGAAGACTCCAAAGAATCAAGGGTTCGAAATGTAGGGATTTAATTTTTTTCATGCAGTACACGGTCTGATTTTATCTCTGCTCAAGATATTTTTTTCCCAAATTATCCATTTCTATTCCCACCAAGAAGACTTCTTTATGTGAACGTGCATTGAAAATGGGCATTATTTTTAAAATTAGTATGGTTATATGTGTAATTATTTCTTGAGATCTGCCCAATGTATCTGGAGATGATCGTGGCTGGTTTTACTATCAGAGTTAAACATTATTAGGGGTTTCACTAAGGGCTGGGCACCAGGCAAATTGACCAGCTGTACGTGAGGACAATTTTGCCCAGCTGGTTTGACCATCTAGCAGAAAGTTTTTCAATCAAAGAAGTTCAGTTCTAATACATGTAGATAAAATTGTGTGCTATTTGGAATTTTTTAAATACAACTTTAAAACAAACCTATGCATACCTGGTCTGGGAAAAGTTCTTCAACATAACTTTTCATGCTCTGTTCATTTTGGTACTAGTGTATACAAGAGAAATCAATAAATTAATCTAAAAACAAACCCGCTGCTGACATAGTGCTGTACTAGGTATGTACTGTTGATGTAATTTTAAGTCTTGTGAAGGTTGACATGGTCTTGATGTCAGCTGACCTGCTTTGAGGCTCTATTTAATGTATCAGGGGTTTTTGCGATACAGGATATTTAGGTAAAAAATTAAAGGATAAAGGATATTTTTTGGGGGGAGAGGATTAATGGGATATGGGATATCAAGATCAGATAAAACAAGAAATGCAGTAAAATCGTCAATTTTTGCAATTGGAGCTAGTACATGTAGAGTAGGTCAAAAATCAACGGGATGTGGAGTACACAGACCCTCCTACAATGTAATTAATGGGGTCTCTGCTTTAAATCCCTCCAATCAGTTGTAAAGTTCTTGTTTTAGGATTTACATCTAGGCATAAGTTACATGTATAATTTGATTAGTAGGTAGTCTTTATTTAATGATTGACGAGGGTACCACAAAGTAGTATGTACATGTACTAATAAACTAGTGGCCCTCTTACAGGATAATAAATATACTAGAATGAAGATTCGCACGGATAAAAGTTACTAAAAACTTTATAGAACTATGAAATAAATGTAAACACACGATAAGATATTTATAAAGTAAAATGATTAAGAAACTTAACAGAGATTAAGTACTATTAGTGACTCTACTTTTCTCATCTGAAGAGGTAACACATTC